TAAGCCGTCCCGAATATAAGCCGAGGTACCTAATTTTACCACAAAAAACTGGGAAGAAGTATTGACTCGAATATAAGCCGAGGGTGGGAAATGAGGCAGCTAATGGTAGATAGATACCAATAAAATTACATGAATATTTATTTAAAAGAAAAACAATAACCTAGCTCTGTAAGTGGAAAAGGGGGTACAGGGCTACATATAATGTACTACGGATCATTTAATACATTCATATTAGCAGAGGATAATTGTAAATCTATTGTTCAGTGCACTCTATATGTAGTATATAGTACATGTACATATAGAGTGCCTGCAACAATACATTTACAATGATCCTCTGCTAACATGAATGGGTTAAATGATCCATAGTACAGGGCTACATACAGATCATTTAATACATTCATGTTAGTATAATTGTAAATGTATTGTCTGCACTGTATTAGCAGTATATACTCTATATAGAGTATATACTGCTAATACAGTGCAGACAATACATAAATGCTTAATAAATCCCCCCCCCAAATCTGCCCTCACTCACTGTGTCCGTGTGCCGGAGGGAGCAGGGACGAGTCAGCGGCGCGCTGGTCCAGTGGGAGGAGCTCCAGGTGGGGTCCTAATTTAGCTGACTTAGAGGTGCCTGCCCGATAATTACAACCCCACCTGGAGCTCCTCTCGCCTGACCAGCGCGCCGCTGACTCGAGTATAAGCCAAGGGGGGCACTTTTCAGCAAAAAAAATGGGCTGAAAAACTCGGCTTATACTCGAGTATATACGGTACTCCAAAATCAATCTAATCAGAAAGACATTGAGGGAACCCCAAATCAGAGATGGTAACTGGCAGTCTTGCCTCTTCTAAAGCCATGGAAAAAAAACAGTATTCAGTGTGACGTACGCCCGGCCCAGACCCGCTGTATGCTGTACGTCAATCCCACGTGACCATACACAAAAGTCTGAACCGAGCGTGAGCGTCATATTCAGCTATGCAGGGGAGGTGTGGGAGCACAGTTAGAACTTCTGTAGTCATCACCAGCAAGTAATTGGTTGAATTTGACCACAACTCTGGTGTGGCTGCAGTAGAAAACCTAGGACGATAAAAAAAGGGAATGCGGCCCTATCCAGCAGAGCTAGTGAGAACTCTGATGTGGCAGGCCATATAAACCATACGGTATTCTAGGAGGAGCAGCAGTAGAGCGATGCTTCAAGGCTGAGTGTTTGGAAGGAGCTCAAAGCACGTGCAAACACTTCAACCAATGGATGACGTCTGCTCTCAGTCCCTTGGTTTTAACACCTTTCGCGTTCAAGCGACAGAAAGGCTACAGAAACGACATATCCTGCTAGGACTCCAAGCAAAAGACTGGAGTCTGCTGGTAATAGGAGGGGTTATTCAGGCTGGCCTACAAATTTGTTTGCCAGTGTCCAATCCTACAGGTAGCAGTATAACCCAACAGTAATCACTTTCGGTTTCCCTTAATAGACAACAAAGAAACAATTTTTACCTAAGCTTAGCTTCCAATATTACCTTTCTTATTTTTTCAATAAAACCATCCAGCTTCTTAACTTCAGCCTCTGAGTGAGCAAGATTTGCTGTCAAAATATCCTTCTATAAAATTACATGAAAAAAAAGACACATGTAAAAATGCGTAATGAGACAGAAGAGAAAATCTGACCTCAAATTACAAACTTCAGTAAAATGCAGGTTAGACAGTTTATTAGGTTATTTTCATTTGTGGTGCAATAAAACCCATTATTTTGCACATTAACTTCCAATGCATTAAAAGGAGAACTATGAGGTGAGTGATTTCCACTCATCCTCATAGTTAGAGCCGACCTGCGACAAAGAAGCCGTCACCGGTCGGTTCCATTGATTGGGAAGTGAGCAGAAACATGCACCGATCCGCTCACTTCCTGATCGTCTCCCTGCAGTGAGTGGTGACTGGAAGTCACCGCTCCCCGCAGGGATTCCCCCCTACCCTCTCTGATCTTCCAGTGCTGAGTGGATGAACGGATAAGGGAGGGGGCAGGCACAGCTGGCTCTGCCTCTAGATGGGCAGAGCCAGCTGTCACTCACGCAGCTGGGTGGATCCAGACAGTATTGTCGGGATCCGTTCCGGCTGCAGCGCTCAGTATTGCCCGCGACATACTGAGTTTGGGTCACTGGAGGTTAGTATATGTCCTCCCATGACCCTGAACAGAACTATGGGGAAAAAAACACTTACCCCGTCAGCAGTGCCATCCGTCCGTTCTTTTACAACGGGCGGACGGCAAGTGGTTAAGGCAGCCATATTATTATTATGTATGAGCAATTAAAAAAAAAGGTAAGCAGCCATTTTTATTTTCAAGGTTAAATTATGTGAATGGAAATATGTAAACATATAAAGTAGGTGCTAACTCAATTTGGTTTAAAAAGTGGAAACACTTTAGCCACTTGTTCTTCGGCCATTGTATATAAAATGGACGAACGGCTCGCTTTTGGATGTGGGTTGTCGTAAATAAAAATAAAAAAAATTTCCTGTTCACATGCACCCCTAGTAGGACACTGTAAACATTTTAAACAGCTGACCATGGCCGTTACATACAAGTATTTGGGAGGCTATAAAGCAGCTCGATTGCTTGTATGGTATGTGGGAGTGTGCACCCCCTCTGATGCCAGCTATTCCGGGCTCCGCTGTACTCCATTCGGACCCTGGACTGGCACCTCGAGTCTGTGTACATTGATCGGAGGGTGATCAGTACACTTCCAGCGGCTTGACTCTCTTCCAATCGCTGAAAGAGGAATTCATACGAATTACATCACTTCTGGTTTCAGTGTGTCATTACTCCAGCTGTGGTAGCAGGAGAAGAAGCTGAAGTAGATTTCTGCTGTCTCCATAAAAAAGGACCTGTCGCTGTATCTGTGCTATTACATAGGGGACTTGTTAGCCGAGTTACATATTAAAAAAGGTTTTAAAAAAAAATCAGGTCACATAAAAAATCTTAACGTCCTTGCCCCCATGTACACGCACATACAAACTCAGCAGGAGCACCTATGTGAAAACAAAGATTATGCACATATCACCGCAAACGTTGGAGTGCAAACAATAATTCTAGGGCAATTGATCACCGTAAACACTAAACTGATGAGCGGTAAAAGATTTTAAAAGTGTTGCCTACATGCAATTTAAGATATGGTAGTTTATGATTTCATGTGTGCACACAATGTTAAGGCTTCACATGTTTGTTGTCTGACATGACCCCCATCTTTTGTATTGTACAAAAAAATTGTTTCACAACAGAGAAGTTTTTTATGTTTTTTGTTTAAAACTTTTTTCTGTACTTTTTTCTTTATATATATAGTAAAAAATAAAAACAGTAGTGATTAAATACCACCAAAAGAAAACTATTCCCTCTATCCCCAGAAAAGATATAAAATTAATTTCAGTACGGCATTGCATGACTGAATAAATGTCAAAGTACCTCAGTACTGAATACTGAAAATGGCCTGACCAGGAAGGGGGTTAACACCGCAGTCTTCAAGTGGTTAAGGTGTTTTCTATGTGCTAATACAATTAGATATGCATTTTAAATTTGTAGTTATAATTTACCTATCGCATATTGGGCAAACTGTTGGAGGTCTGTATTCATAAACAGGTTAAGAAATTCTCTTCTACATATACATTTGTTCTGACCGAGTGAGGCTAAACAGGTCTTCAGATTATCAGTCTTGTGCATGAATAGCACCTGCAACAGGTTAGGGAAATCTAAGCAGCCATTATGTTATGGACACTGTGGCTTTTTCTTTTAGATCACTCATTCAAACTAGTGAAATTTTAAAATGCGAGTGTGACCACAAGAACGATGGTATCCGGTCTTCAATAGCTCATGCTATACGTGACGGACAGTTTGCTTCAGGCCTTTACAAAGGTATATTTGGAGAAAGAGTACTTACATGTCTGATTAGTCTCTGTACAGCTTCAGTCTTTGAATATTCTGCGTCAGAAAGCTTTAAACTCAGTGCAGTTATCTGGAGGAAAATAAAACATGAAGCCACCATTACAGTGAACATCTATACCAGACAAACCAAGAACAAATATTGAACCAAATAAAAATGTTCAGAGATTTAATGCCTATAACCATGCCTTAGGG